AACAGTTAAGCTCATTCCAGGCATTTCTGCAGGCGTCTCTAAGTTTCTACACAATAATCTAAGAGCAGTCAGAATTAATTTTTATCGCTGACTCAATTTTGAGTTAGAAGGCATGTTACCTGCAGTTCTTGCAGAATAGAGGCAGCCTCTTTCACTTCACCATTCTGTTCTTTTATTGTTGCAAGAGTCTTTGTCAGGCGAGCACGTTCAATTTCCACATATATCTGAAATCAGAAGCAGTAGTTTAAGCACTGGCATTTTTGAGTGCAATAAGACCACAACCCCACAAAGACACAGACTGACACTATCCACAATGTACACAGATAAAATATGATGGATAGTTGACACACCAGAAGTATTTGGACCAAATTAATCTCAAAAAATGTCATCTAAATTCATCTACCGTTCTTTCAGCAAGCATAAAAGGATGTGCACTGTGAATGAAGTATTAGATACTTTGTCTGCTAAAATATATTGAAACAAATATGAAGTGAAGACTTTAATGGTTAATATGTACTAAATACTACTGTTTGCATTTTTCGCTCACTCCTAACCAGCCATAAATCAACAATATTTGATTACTAACAATTTAGACTAATGTTGAAAAGACAAGAGCTGTAACATTAACACAAATTCGCCTTAATCCAGAATTGTTTATTTTGTTAAAGTAATGTTATGTAAACAAGTAACTTGGTATGATGCTTTAGTATCACCTTCTGGTTACTATAACTGTATGTAACACCTTGCTAAGTGCAAGAGAAATTAAACTAAACCTCCCCATTTCTCTAACAAATTCAAATACATAACATTTTAAAAAAAGAAAAATAAAAGGCATTTTAGAACTCTGAAATGTATTATTAATTATATTAATAATACATCCAAATAGCTACATCATGGAAATATGACCAGTGTTTCAGCAAATTATTTTAAATACAAAATCTGGAAAATATTTGCAGTCTTTTGTGAAGAAACATACTACTTGGCTTCTCAGGTTAATTTAAAAATTACTTCTGCTCTTACTTGAACAAGATTAAAAAACAGCATTAAGAAGCTATGTTTTTAAAGAAGGTGAACATTTTTATTCTACCTTTTAGACATTCAGTCTTAAAACAAAATCTTACTTTTCCTTCTGTAACCATACGCAACGTGTCAATTAAGCGCAGTTTGACTGGTAAGTCTGTGATGTCTTCAACATAAGTGCAGCACTGCTGGACCATTTTAGCAACTGCCTAGTACAGTAACAGAAAAGAAAAACATACTGTTTTTAGATTTCGCAAATGCATTCAAACTATAACACTCAGAGATAAGTATTAAATAGTTTCATATCAAACTAGAGACTCATTTCAATAAATATGCATATATATACATATATGCAAGATTCATTAAAGTGTAAAATGCTGCTAGCGACTGATGCTAGAAGTCAAATGTGATGCTGTTCTGTCATTTCTTTCATCTCAGTTTTTCCAATGATACTCAAAATAATTCATCCCATGTGGTTCTCCCTTGAATAGTAGTATTCCTCTTCTGCCAAATCAACACAATTGCCACATGGACTGACAAAACTTAGTTGTTTGCCTTAAAACCTGCATGACTAAAGGGAAGGTTCATCTTCTCTTACATGTGTGTGCTAGCCCATCACTTTAGGGCACCTGTAGATTTTTCAGGAAGGGAAGGAAGAGGGGCGATTATTTCTGACTGATGCTTTTCCATCTCTGCATATTCCCATACAGGCACTAATAACAGCATCCTTCACTGGCCAGCACAGGTATTGCAATATGTTCTTCTAACAACACTGACAAAGCTGTTACAATTAGAAAATATATAAATATATTTAAATATAAAATGCCTACTTCTGGGAATAATAATAAAAAAAAACCCAGAATGTAACTTCTAGAAACTTCTTTCTCAAGAAAACTCAGCTGAAATGACCCAACTCTTCAGCCACATTTTGTGCAAGTTAGGGAACTAAACAGTACTCTACTTGTACACAAACTCCTAATGTTTCTGCACATAAAAAAGGAGGTAACTTTTTTCTTCCTAAAGCAATGATGCCATTTAAATTACCTGTTGCTGACTTCTAATTAATTCAAACTAAACACACAGTGCAATAAACTTTGTACCTTCTTAAATGCAAGTGCTTTCACCTGTCCTGATAGCCAATTTCTCCAACAGAACTGAATTCCAGAATATGAGTTTCAAAAGCAAGCATGTAAAGTATATACCTTGTTTGATCACAATCAACTGCAGTTGATATTAAGAATATGTTTACAGTGCAGACTATGGAAGAGTGTAGAGATGAACTACCATCTAAAAGCAGAAAAGTCACAGCTGTGTTGCCAAGAATGGGAAGCTGGACCACACAGAGCTCAGGCACAAGGTGAAGGTAAGACTAATTCCAAATATCAGCTTTATTACTGGCTTTCACATGTGTACCAAAAAATGTCAACAGAAACTAATTACAATATATTCAGGCATATATCAGTGCTAGCAGGTCAGGAAGTCCCTACACACAAGGGGGAATCGGATACGTAACACAGGTCCAAACACAATTTTAATTTTTGTTTCAAAGGATTAAATTCACCTGTTTTAACTGACTTCTTCTCTTTGATAGAAGAATAATATTTTCATTAAGAGCATCCCAGTCTTTAGCTTCGTAACACATTTTCACTATAGCAACTAAGATACGGGATGTGGAGACCATGTCAGATGCCTGTAACAAACAAACAGCTATTAGTGATGTGATAAACAACCTGCAGACCTCTGTCAACTTACACTTCTATTATATGAAGGGGGAAAAAAAATATATCTAGCCTCACTGATTTTCTCTTTAAAGAAAAGAACAACAAAAGAGACTGATACTCCAGTTCCTTTCACGACTTTAATGAAGTGAAATGGGGGGGTGTAGGGCAAACCACCATAAATGTTGCACACCATATGCTACTTACCGTTCGTGTTTGTTTTTCCAAGGAGAGAAGGTTTTCAATTACTTCTTGCAATCTTCCTTCCTAATATGATAGGCAGAGAATTATCACCAGGAGTGAAAAACACAATTCAGTTTAAATTGAGAAGAGTTCTAATTCTCATGTAAGTAAAAAACATAAACAGCCTGTACACTCAATTTTAAGGATTTTTTTTTTTCTTAAAAAAGGAAACATATATAGCACTAACTTTAAATATATGGTTCTATATGCAGATTAAACTGGAAAAGTACTAGTTGCATTTTTGCCCCATATATGCTATAAATTGTCTGTCTAGTGCGAGAAACCTAGCAAGTTTCAGACAGGTTTGGTTAGCTCACACTCATTGAGCTAGATGGAAGACTGATTTCTTTCCTAGCCAAAACAACACTTTAAGTGAGAACAGATATGCATTTAGATACCTTGGCCAAAAAATTGTTTTACTATTACTTTCATCCACATTCATCATATTTTAATTAGAGCATGCTATAGAAAGCATAAACTACATGCTTTAATAATGGAATTATAATAGTCCTGCTTTTTAAGCTTTGAGAACTTTATTTGCCTTTGTCTAGAGGAGTTAAAGATACCACAATGTACTTTTAGTCCTAAATTGTAATTGCTAGCAAGTATCTTGTAAAAAAAAACAGGTTAACATGGGAGAATTTGTAACAGCCCATGGCAACTGTGGGGCTGCAAAAAAATGATTAGAAACTGCTAACAAAAGAGAAAATTAAATTTGTTTCTAAAACGTACCTACCCTAGTGAAATCTTTTACACTATAATGGTTTGTCAAGGATGGGCTCTTACTGCCACAAATTTACATGTTACACAGCAACAAAATATGGTTGTGATGCCCATACCTACATAGAGCTGTGTCCGTGGGATAAAACACCTGTGCCGACTCTCCATACAATACAGTCTTAAAATAACGTAAGATGCAGTTTACTTATCTTAAGGCTACTGCCTTCAGAATTCTACAATATGCTTTATACTACAACATGTCTACCACAACGAGACATGTGGACCAAGCGGAGCATTTGCAGCATGTGAAGAATCAGATGCCATCTTACTGGGAAAGGACATAACAGCAAATCCAATCTGTCTGTTCCGAGGTCTGAGATGCACAAGAATCTCTACGCTACAGAACAAGCCCATGAAAGAAACCTTAAGATACACCATGCACACGATTACCAATACGATCCCATCAGCGAGCCATTCCGTGGTCACCTATGGCTGGGTGCACGTACATGTTTGCTCAGCAGATGCCAGGCGCCCTATCAGCCTGCCATGGCTCTGGCCCTCCATTCCAGTTCTTGGGGCACGTACATAACCGAGTTAGAAGGATGCAAAGCGCTGCCTCTCTAACCTGACACAGGACCAATTACACGAAGGCAGCTTTGACGCAGAGTGGTCCTAGGATGCACAAACACCTGCCCAGGCGTCTGCCCAGCCGCGTTGTCCGCGGAAAGTGGCACCCGGTAAAAGCCACGTCACTTCTGGAGGACTCGGACCTTCCTATCCCCTCGCCAGCGGGGCTGCACCCTGACATCTCCTCTCGTCTCCCCCACCGCCTTCCTGCCCCGGCTCCCACACACTGCCACTGAAATGGTCGAGCAGTCCCTGCTTCTCCACTTCCCCAACACGGCACGGGAGGGCCCGAGCCCCGGACCCCTCCGCACCGGATCGGGTGACAAGAAGCGGCTGCACGTCGCGCCGCACGTCCCCCCGCCACCGGGCCGCCTCCCCGAGCGCGGCCTAGCGCGCCCCACGCCATGACTCAGCCCATCCGCACCGCCGGCCTTCCCCCCTCCCCTCACCTGCGCCAGCCGCTCGCACTCAGGCAGCCGCTGGTCCACCGTCGCGCTGTAATCCACCTCCATTTTCACGATACGGCCATCGGCCCGCTCCGCGCCGCCCTCCGCCATCTCCCCGGCTCCGCTCCGCG